TCTTTTCGAGTTAAAGAGATTAACTTCCTGCAATTAATGCAGACTTACCATCAATTTTGTACTCTAGTCGAAACTAACTCACCTTCCAGATTTTTTATTACCGTAACACCGGTCTTCTTAGGAACAACATGTATCACACTTGTCCAACTACTATCCGAGATCAGATAGATAACGTTTGCGTCAAAAAGCTTATGAATTTCTTTTTTTACCACTTTCATTATCGGTGGATTTAGTAAAAGTTGTCATTCTCGTGATGATTTAGCTTATTCTTCGATCTTAATTTTATGCATACAAGTTGAGGGGCTTAATCCCTTAATATCGATAATGGTCCATTCAAAAGCTCCTTTGTGTGATGCAGTACCGTCACAAGGTCCTCTTCCTCTTTCTTGGTTAATTTGTTCGAAACAATCACCGATAGAGTATTATTGTCACCTAGAAATACGTATTTCAAGTGATCCGGTAATTCTTTTAATTCGATATGAGGAGCCTGCAGAACAGAAGGTAGAAGTTTAGATTTCGAAGGTGTAAAATTTTTGTCAAAATTAATTGAAGTAACCGAAATTTTTTGTTAAAACTCCCTAAATTCACCATCAAAATTGTCTAATTCCCTGTAAAATTTATCAACAAAATTAGTCTCAATAAATTCATCAATCGCAAGCTCAATTACATCAACAAAATTTGTACTTTGAATATTTTCATGATACTACATCGCTTTATAAACATTAAATTTAACGATCTCACCGTCAAATTTCATTGTAAGGATGCCGCTTCTTATATCGACTTTTGTATTGACAGTGCAAAGGAAAGGTCGCCCAAGGAGAATCTCAGATGAAGTATTTGAGCGGTCATTTTCCATGTCAATAACTTTAAAATCGACCAGAGAGATTAATTCATCTACCTTTACTTAGACGTTCTCTAAAAGTCATTCTGGGTAAATAACTGAGCGATCCTTTAATTGAATAGTAACTTTCACATCCTTCAAAGGTTTTCTTGAAAAAGTATTGTAAACGGATAAAGGTATCACGTTTATTGAGGCTCATAAATTGCACATCGCATGTTTATAACCACTTTGTCAATTTTGCAACGTATGAAAAACATGACTTGGTCCTTCAAATTTTATGGAAGTTGTCATTGAAAAACAACAGAAATGTGCTCTCCAAGGTTTACCTTTTCATGTTCGGTAAGTCTTTTTTTAGTAGTGCAAAGCTCTTTAAGGAAACAAGCATATATGGGAACCTTCTAGATTACTTCTTAGAGTGGAATGTTGATTTCAACTTTCTAGAATATGTCTAGGATCTCTTTGTCCTCAGCTTGCTTGTCTTTATTTATGAATCTTGAGAGAAAATGAGGTGGCACGGTGTATGGAGATGGTGTCAATTTGGATACTGGATTTTTTTTCTCTTTTTTGATTGTGGTGTCATCTTCTTTTTCCTGGGAGTTGACGTCACTTGCTTCCTCATCTTTATTGGATTTCAAATCAATTTTTTCTTTGTTGCTCTTCTGGAATATTGCGTCAATCTCCTCTCAGACTGGTTGTTAGACAATTATTCCACTTTTGAGGGTGATGGCGCTTACACTATCTCGTGGGTTCACTTAAGTTTGAGAGTGAAGTTTGCCTTGTGATTCTAAGCGGCCCACAGCTTGTGCTAGCTGATTGATTTGCTTGTCTATTTCTTACAAGTGTGACTCCGTGCGATTCTAAAATTTCTCTTAGGATTACGCCAATCGTTCCATGAGATACTCAAGTGAACTCTTTGGCTGCTGGTACGACTGTAGTGGAGGTGGCCTTTATTGATAGGTTGGATTTGGCCTCTGATTTTACGCATAGCTGAAATTCGGAAGACCTCACCATCCCGGATTGTATGTGTTTCTATGGGGTTTATAGGGCCTTTGAGGAGGTCCCAAAAAATTCCCCATGATATTGACTTGTGCGCCTACTTCTTGTAGTGTCGGGAAACAATCGGGTGGGTGGTCTAGCATTGTACATATCCATTATTCTCTGGCTGATACGTTCTTTCCTGTAACAAGATAATTAACGATATTAGTTAATTTGTTGATTTTATTTTCAAGTGAAACGGTGCTTACCTCGTGAACCCGTCATCTAGGTTTACTCGTGGCGCCAAACTGTTGAAAGTTAGTAGTTGAAATTAATTCCCTCACTTGGTTTGGGGTCATATTGAAGAGATCTTCTTCGCTGGAAGTGTCGATCATTTTCATTTCCATGGGAAGCAAACCTTCGTAGAAATATTGAATAAATGTATGCTCAGTTAATCTGTGTTGCGAATAGCTCGCACATAGCTTCTTGAATCGCTCCCAGTATTTGTAAAGCAATTCCTCTTGCTTTTGTTTAATTACTAGAATGTTTCGCCTTAGTTCGCTTGCCTTCACTGTTGGGAAAAACCTGTCAAGAAAAATATGATTTAAATCAGCCCAAGCATTTATCGAGTTTTGAGGCAAATAAAATAATCATTCTTTTGCAATGCCAGATAAAGAAAATGGAAATGCTCTTAATTTAATTTGGTCTTCGGATTCTCCTTGATGTTTCATGCTCAAACAGACCAAATGAAATTATGCCAAATGCTTATGCGGACTTTCGCTAGCAAGGTTGTAGAAGGTATGAAGTAAATGTATAAACCTCGTCTTGAGTTGAAACGATGTTTCGCCTTGAGGAAAGGTGATGCAGAGTGGTTGTTTTACTATAGGGGCCGTAACTAGTTCATGGATAATTTGATCGCCTATTGGTGCATCATCCGTTGGATCAATAATTGTTGTGGAAGTCGATTCGCCTATTGTTGGATTTTGCGTGGAGTCCGTTGATTCTTCGTATGTGGCATCAATTGAGTCTTCGGAATTTGCTTGCTCTTGTCGTTTCTTTCTTTTTTCCTGAAGTGTTCGACTATGAATTTGTCTGGCTCGTGCTTCGATTTTCGGATCAAATTCTTCTAACGTGCTCGGATTCTACCTGGTCATAAATCAAAAACAAGAAAATTAAATCAGTGCTTTGCAGTACTCTCCTATAATCGTGCTAATTTAGTTTCGTGTTATTTTCACTGTCAAATAATATTTAGCCTTAATCTCAATAAAAGAAAATGAAAGATAACATAGAGAGAGTAAGGGTCGATCCACAGGGACTAGGAAGTTGATGAATTTCTTGCTTTTGATCTTGATTGAGGCGTGATTTGAAGATAAGAGTGAATAAAGGGGGTTTTGGAGAGTTGAAGTAAAATTAAGATTTGAAAGAAAATAAAGAAAGTAAACTAAGTAAATTAAAATGAAAATTCAATTGATAAAATCAGCCTTGGGCTAAAGCTTCTGCCTCAATTTAAATCGATCATTGAATAGGATTTTTACCTTCGGACTCATGCCGGTTACAGTCTATAGGGCCCAACCCCTGTAACTTGTTTTTCTCTTGAATGAATCGAGTATCTAAAATCAATTTTTAGATCTCAACCCCTTTGTGAGTTTATAGTGACAATCGCTTACCAACTTAACACCTTTAAATTCTGGAAAAACCCGACTCGGATTGTACCGTCTCAATTGAGAATCTAACCCGATTTTAGTTTCCCTTAGCGGACCACCACTAAGTTTGATCACAGGAAGTCGAATGTGCCACATGTTGATCCTTCCTCCCAACTGTTAATTAAAACTGAAATTCAATTTCATCGTGCACTTTTTGAAATGAAATCGCTTTGATTGTAAAAGGATGGTCGATTACCGATCATTGATTTCCAAAAACTGAAAATGTAACCCTTAAGGGTATGATGTGTTTTTCGATTCTCACGATTCAGAATCGAGTCATCACTTTAGCCTTTGGCTATGAAAAACTTAACTAAATATGGTAGAAATCATAATTAGCATTTTTGAAAGATAATGAAGTAAAAACTTGAAAAGAAAATAAAGCAAAAAGGAAAAGGAAAACTTTTATAATACTAAAGAAAGAAGAGATAAGAGAGTTAAAGAGTGAATTGATTGATGCTTTGAGGCTTACCCAATGGGTATTTATAGTCCTCAAAAACCTTAAAAGGTAACATTTAAATTAAAAAGATAATTTCTAAAAAATAAAAATAAAAATAAATTCTAATTTGAATTTGAAAAATGAGGATGAGTCTCCTGCTCCCACTAAGTTGCTGATCGGATGCCACATCAGCAAAATCATGCCTCAAGTCATGCCCACTAATCCAGTCATAACTCCAGAAAATAAAAAATTGTGCATTTTCATCAGTTTGAGTAACATTTCTGAAATCTACTGTCATGCATGGAAAAGAAACAAAAAGTACCAAATTAGCAACTTAAAATAACTAATCAAGGAGTAATTAATCACAAAATAATGCACAATTTAAGCCCTAATCAATACTGCTAGGGATTCAGCTTATACAATTCATTTAATTTTGGCAGTCTTCAACTTTCACAAGGCTGCAAATAGAAGCTAGGGAAATTGGCTTCGGTGTTGCATCATTAATATTTGGCTATACAACTTTATTCTTAATTGAACTAAAAATTTATAGCTTCCCATTCTATTCGTAGATGGACTTTAAATTATGAGTGCTTTCAATTTGTTGATTATATGTATTCCAACTTCAATAGTACAAGAACTCATTGAGTGATTTAAGTGGTAAAAGAGAGTGTTGTTCTCCTTAGAAGTCTCGGATTTGAGCAGTTATGTCTATAGTATGTGCGTGCTTTATCAATAGGCTAATTTACATGATATTCATTCTCAGACTGCACCTAGTTTTACTTTTGGGAAAATTTGACTTTTTCAGTTCAGAGATATCTTTGGTTTCCATTGTTTCAGCTAGCGACATTCCACGGTAGTCAAAATCCAACAAACAAAATGAAAGAAAAGCACCTTGAATCTGCTACTTTATTGAAGCATCTTTCCTACGCGTCTCTGATGTCACGATTGGTTTGTATTTGAATGTGAAGAATGCGGTACCTTGTCCTAACTTATTCTTTTCTTCTCAACTCAGTTTAATCTGGGTTTTTTTAAAGACATTAATTAGTATTACAATCAAATAGGGTCTCTCTCTCTTTTTCTTTGCAGGTTGAAAGGAGATGGAGAAGGAATCGAAAAGGCTGGTGAATTGTGCAACTTTAGCTACCTGTTTGGTGTTAATTGTTCTGGTTTATTCTACACTTTTTCAATCTAATGACACCATAAACTTGGCTGACTTGAAACTCCATGGAAATGAAGGGGGATACAGATTATCAGATTCAAGGATCATTGCTGATGCAGTTGATCCTAAAGAATTTCTGCTAAGAAGGCTTGTTAGAGGTTCATCTCTTTCACTTCTTAAAATTCAATTCATGCCAATTCACAATCATAAAATGTATATATTGTGTTGATTAATGAAACAGGAGATGATCGAGTTCAGTTCGAGTCCAGTGGATTTTCATGCCACACTGATGTTCATTCAGAGGTATTCATAGCAAATAAACCAGTAAGGATCTTCAACAAAGGGTTGACAGTTTATGTGCCATATGATCATCAACCACAAGTCACGAGAACTGTTAAGCCATATGCAAGGAAAGAAGACGAAACTGCCATGAAACTAGTCTCGCCGGTTCAGATTGTTCATGGGAACAGCACAAGTAATCCGCCACCAGGCTGCAATAACACCCACAATGTCACAGCTGTTGTCTTCTCTTCAAAAGGCTTCACAGGAAATGTTTTTCATGAGTTCAATGAGATTATCATCCCTTTGTTCATTACAACTCGCCATTTTCGGTCCCGACTAAAGTTTGTAATCACAGATTACCAGCTTCAGTGGGCACAAAAGTACAACAGGGTTCTGTCTCACTTGTCTGGTTACGATGTTATAAATCCTGATGATGGGAGTGTTCATTGTTTTCCAGGGGCTGTCATAGGGCTTAAATACCATAACAATCTAGCCCTCAACATTACTGATATTCCAGGAGGTTATTCCATGTTTGATTTCAAGCACTTCTTGAAAGAATCATACAATCTGAAAATAGACCATGTGTCCGGGATTAAAAAACCGGTGCTGATGCTTATATCGCGAAGCAAAACAAGGCGGTTTCTGAATGAAGAAGAAATGATGGAGATGATGGAGGAGCTAGGCTTTCAAGTCACAAGGGCAGAACCTGAGAGGATGTCGAACTTGGACGAGTTCGCTGAGGTGGTGAACTCATGTAGTGTCATGGTTGGAGCCCATGGTGCCGGTCTAACAAATGAGATATTTTTGCCCACAGGTGCAGTGATGGTTCAAGTGGTGCCATTGACACTTGAATGGGCGGCAACCAAATACTTTGGTGAACCGGCAAAGGCAATGGGGCTTCAATACTTGGAATACAAGATCGAACCAGAGGAAAGTTCGTTGTTCGACACTTACGGAAAAGATCACCCTGTGATTAGTGATCCAGAATCAGTGATCTCTAAGGGATACTATGCACACAGGTCTGTGTATGTAGATGGCCAAGATCTAAAGATCAATTTAGAGAGATTTAAGAAGACCCTTATTAAAGCTAAGCAAATTCTTGAAACCTCAACTCCCCATAAATAGAAGAATGCAAAATTAATCAGCCTCAAGATACAGCAAGAGATTCAGTTTATATAATTCATTTCCTTTTGGCAATCTCCATCTTTCACAAGGCTGCAAAGAAAAGCTGGGGAAATTAGCTTAAATGTTGCATCGTTCATTGTCATGGTAAAAGCATTTCAATTACATATTGTACATTTTCTTAGAAAGCTGGTATATCAAACATGAGCTCTCACGTTGGGCTTGTTTTGTGCTTCTGAACCATTTAGTTAACGGATGTGTAATAAGTAATGTTTAACCCAATTAGAACGGTTCGAACGTTAAATGAACCAAACACAAACACATTAAAAAATAAACGAACGAACGTGTTATTAAAAATTTAAAAGAACATGAACCGAATATAAACACCTTCAAAAATAAACAAACGAACATGAACACAACCTTATCCGTTTAAGTACAATTCATTTACATTTTACAACCCAATTTCTTTCTGACCCAGAATTTGACCTCACCTGAATTTTGTAGTAAGAAGGCCTAAGCATGTCGGCAGCATCAAATGTAGGCCAAGAACAACATCATGCTGCGAATTATTCACCGGCTGAAGATCAAAATGATGATGTTAGTGCTGCAACAATGGACTCATCTGAGTAATATTCGGCTGAAGGTCATTGGCTCATGCAAAAGAAACGAAGTTGTAGGGTTACTTGCAACACGTTCCCTACGAGCCCTGGACCTCGATGCTGCTAAACATATTGACTTATAGGCAAATTTGTATAAGTGTGGAGTCATTTTCAAGATTTATATACAATTATGAAGGAGCTGTCGAGTCATTTTCAAGATTTGTAGAATAGAAAAAATAGGATACCAGGTGGCTCCAGGTTCTTTAAAATAACCCAACTAATGGTAGCTGTCATTTTTAAGATTTGAATTTTTCTTTCTTTCTCCTTTTTTTCCTAACAAACCAATGTGTTTTTTGTTCATTCATTGTTCAACTCTTCTCTTCTGTAAAACAAAGCCATCTATAGGTAACTCCTTCTCCATCCAACTTTCATGCGATACCATGATTACTCGTCGCTGGGATTGTGCAGTGGGACAGTCAGTTTTTATATGCATGCTTGAACAAAACCTTGATGCTTTGAAAACTGCAGTAGTCGAATTGAACCATCTCAGGAATGATGTGATGACCAAGGTCATAATCTCCGAAGAACTTCACCAACTTAAGTGGCTCGACCAAGTTGAGGGTTGGCTTTCGAGGGCCTTGACCATGATAAACGAGGCTGATCTACTGATTTCCGAAAGTCCTCAGCATATTAAACAATCATGTATGGGAGGTTGTTGTTCCTTGATTCCCGAGTCAAGTCTCAAATTCGGGAAGCAAATTGCAGAAATGTACCAAGAGGTGAAGAAGCAGCAGAGCAAAGGAGATTTCATTACCGTGGCTGACAAGGCACCTCTTCCTTTGGCTACTAAACGGCCTACTGTGCCGACTGTGGGTTTAGTGTCCACTATGTTTGGAGCAGTGAATTGTCCGTCCAGCTCAGTTGGTAGAGCGCAAGGCTCTTAACCTTGTGGTCGTGGGATTGAGTCTCACGGAGGGCAATTAATAATTCTGACTGCCGGAGGTCTTCCACGAAAGCTGCTCTCAACCTGGCGTTGGGGGCAACCTACTACCCTACCTCCTCTTACCCTATTACATATGGGAATAGGGTCAGCTAATTTTTTTTATGTTTGGAGCAGTCTTCAAGAGGAACAAGTGGGAATTATTGGCCTATGTGGCCTTGGAGGTGTTGGCAAGACGAACCTCCTAAACCAAATCATTAACAGATTCCTCGATACGCCAAATGACTTCAATCAAGTAATTGGGGTAGTTGTGTCACAAGATCTGCAAATCGAGAAAGTCCAAGACGAGATTGGCAAAACGATAGGATTTTTGGATGGGGCTTGGAAGCACAAGATGATTGATGAGAAACCTTCAGACATCTTCAACATATTATGTAAAAAAAAAGTTTGCACTATTGTTGGATGATATTTGGGAATGGTTTGATCTAATGAGAATCGGAGTACCTCTCCCGACACAAAGGAACAGCTTGAAAATCATCTTCACCACTCGCCTTATAGAGGTGTGTTTTCAAATGGAAGCACATAAAAAGATCAAAGTGGAGTGTTTACAGCAAGCAGAGGCGTTGAAACTATTTTTCAACAAGGTTGGAGCAGAAATACTTGATAGACATCCAAATATTCGCAAGTTAGCCGAAACAATGACAGAGGAGTGTGGCGGACTACCGCTTGCACTGATTACAATAGGGCAAGCCATGTCATCCAAGAAGACCCCTGGAGAATTGAAATATGCCATGAAGGCCTTAAGGCAATCAGCTGCCTCTGTCTTCCCAGGGATAGGAAAAAGGATGTTTCCTCAGTTAAAATTCAGTTACGATTGTTTACCTGATGAAAGGGTGAGATCTTGTTTCTTATATTGTTGTTTATTCCCATCAGGTTTTCCCATTAGAAAAATTGAGCTAATACATTGTTGGATCGGGGAAGGATTGTTGGACCAGCATACCAACTTGAGCAGTGTCCGAAACCAGGGAGAGTACATCTTAGGTTCTCTTATTGACGCATGCTTATTAGAGGACGTAAGAAGCGACATCGTAAAGATGCACGATGTGATCCGTGATGTGGCTTTGTGGATAACTAGTGAATCCGAGATGGATAAATTCTGCGTAAAAGCAGGTATGCAATTAAAGGAACAGCCTGTAGTTGAAATTTGGGAAGACCTAAAAAGAGTGTCCCTAATGGGAAATCAAATCGAAAGTCTAATTCAGATAGTATGCCCCAATCTCCTAACTTTATTCCTAGGGAAGAACGACTTGAAGGTGATCATCAACGATTTCTTTAACTTCAGGCCTAAGCTAAAGGTTTTGGATTTGTCCTTCAACATCAACTTGGATGAACTGCCTGTTGGAATTGCAAAGTTGGTTTCACTAGAGCATCTCAATCTGTCCTTCACAGGACTAAAAACACTTCCCGTTGAGCTGAAGGTCCTCGAAAATCTGCAATATTTGAATATAGAGCACACATAGGATTTGAAAACAATCCCACCACAACTGATATCCAAGCTTTCAAAGTTGAAAGTATTGGAAATGGTGGGGTCTGGTTATGAATGGTTGGTGGAAGAAGTTGAGTGTTTAGCTGACTTGAATGTGTTGACCATTAGCATTGAAAGCCTTTCTATGCTGTAAAGAGCAATGATGTCCTACAAGTTTCAGACCTGTAATGTTGAAGTTGTGATCCTTATGTTGTTCAAAGGTTCAAGGTCGTTGAGTATTTCGGCTTTAGCAAATATAGAGCCTCTGGATTTTCTAGGAGTCTATGATTGTGGAGTCTAAATTTTTTCATAGGAAATATTAGAATTGATCCCATTTGATTTGTTGGGGGTACAATAATATAATCTTGAATTGACTCCACTATAATCACACATAAAAAGTTAAAAAAAAAACCCCTTTTCCCTCTCTGTTTTGTGTGTTAAATAATTAATACCGAGAATTAACACACAAAAAGGGAAAATATATATAAAAAACTTTTCATTTTTCTTTTCTCATAAGCCTCCCCTCCCGCTAACACCTTTTTACTCAGCAAAAGAAAGGGATGCAACTATGTGAAAGAACTGCAACAGCTCTAGCAGCTATTTAGCATGAATGGTGGCTTGGTTTGCTACTCGTAAAAACAGCTCATCACTGAGCTTGTCGTCGATGTGAGCATTGACTAGTACCCCGGAGATGCTTCGGCAGCTGTTGGCTAGCGCTCGACCTACCTCCGATGCATCGTCAGGCCGGCTAACGACTAGAGGGCTGCCTCCTTTGAATACCTCAAGCTTGTTTATGGTGAATGAACCATCAGCTTCGACCACTTCCTTGAAGTCTTGTAGGCTTGGTGCATACACCGGAATGTTGAAATTGTCCCGTTTCTCGCAACTTATAAGACCCTTTCATAACACATTCACATCATTTTAATTACATAAATCATGAAATGAATGAGATATAAAGAATCTAATGATGTGAGTTATGATTTAGGGGAACACTGTTGACTCATTAACCACATGTAAACATGAAGACCTTTAAGTAAACATGGGTGATTAGTGACTAATCGTAATTAATTAAAGGTATACCTCTTGGAGAAGATCATCCCAAGCATACTGAAAGTGGATCCCGAAGAGGAGGACGGCACCACCTTGGTCGGTGGGGTCCGCCGAAGTTCGGCCTAAACGGACAAGGAACAAGGAACCACCCCTCTTCATCTCTATGGATCTTGCTCTCAGGAACTCTGCCAGGTCTGTCTGGAACTGCTTCTTGTATGCATTGACTGTGCTCTCGTTTGCACCGTGGATGAACACCCTCCCTTTGTTGTAAGTCGTTGATCTTTTCTCCAACACAATTTCAGGGATCTGGTTGCAGTAGGTGCCATGTTAGGTACCACAACAATAAATGTCCGGGGTTAATATTGAACCTACAAAGATATATTTAATAGCTTAGAGATTTTGTATCATACAGGAGCACAGCACGAGTGCATGACCAATAACCTGTACACTTCAGAGAAGACGAAACGAGAGAATAATAATAACTAGCCTGCGATAGTCAGTGCAATGAAAATGCCGAATGGAAGACATCGATGGGTTTAGCCAGAAAAAGGCGCTGGTGAAACGATCCGGGTACTCCGGAAGCAAAATAGGATCGATGTCCGTTCGAAGCAATACGCTCTTCCATGCTACTATCCCCGTTATTTTCCAACGGAGGTAGGAGTTGGAAAAGGGTGTTGAAATCATTGCTAGGCAGGTCAGTGAAAAAAGCAGAGAATTCCGGTGGCTCGTAACCGGACGACTAGTAGCGCTTCACCATGTGCTTGACGATAACGTCGACGACAGCAACACCCCAAATCGACGACCGCAAAGGGTACATCGGGGGAACGTACTTGAACCGTGTCTAGGGCTTCTTCAAGGAGGTGAAGCATTGAACGAGCATGTAAAGCCCGCATGGATCATTGAAAAACAAAATAAATTTCATATAAATGTTGCTATAATCATAAAAAAACTGG